GTGCTCTTGGTGCTGAAGGCCGGGCGGCGGTGGAATAAGTACTTTAAATCCCGCAGGCCGCTCTTCACGGGGGGGCTCGTGGGAGGGCTCTTCACATACGTCCTGTTCTGGACTTTCTTGTACGGCATGGTGCACGTCTACTAAACCAGCTAGGAGCCACGTCAGCTGCTGTGGGGTTTAACAACGCAGGACTGTTGCCAAAAATCATCTACACAAGTAGGCCAGCTTCCCTTTTAAACCGTCGTCCTTCGCTTCTGTTAACACCCTCAGTAAATGATGTCTGAGTACAGATGAATGGGTAGCACTGTTCTAATTAAACTGAATGTGAAACACCACTTGGGTGCCTCCCACGAATATTTGTATGGAGGTAGTTAAGGAGTTGCTTCTGCCCCTCGTGGCAGGCACAGCCCTGGGCTTTGGTTAATGTTGTCCCCTGTTGCCTTTGTGTTTTGGATAGGACACACCACTTACAGCCCCCTCAAGATCTGCTGCCTGTCCCTACACACAAATGCTGGTGAAAGCACTCCTAAAAATAATCCACTGACACAGGGAGACACTGCTCAGTAGTGTGTAATTAATCACATGGAAGGGGTTGGTACAGAGATGAAATGGGGTTGCCATTGCAAATGTTATTTCCACGGCTGCTGTGTGTGCACTGTCAGGAAGGACACTGTCAGGGTGCTGCTCCCTGCCAGACACAAGTCACTAAGTGATGCTCTCAGGAGTCACTCTGCTCCTTACTGCTGCAGTACTGAGTGAGATGGAGGCAGCCAAGTGCAGAGCCTCGTGAGCTGCCAGCCCAGCCTGAGCTGGACACCCGTGAGCCTGCCAGCACTGTCAGTAACAGCAGTGCCTGGGGCGCTCTGTCTGGCCCTGGCAGGGACAGAAGGGAGAAGTCCAACCACTCCCTGTACAGGTGGCAGCTCTGCTATAGCCCTGCTGGTGCAAACAGTGTTTAAGGGACGTGCTTAGCATAAGGGTAGCACACAGAAGGTGGCATGTGGGACCTAAAAACCACACTGTACAGAGGAGTCTTGGAAGAGGACTACCCTAAAGAGACAAATTTTATTGCTCTACATGAAACACAAGGGATTAAAAAAAAACAAAAACAACAACCAAACCTCAACAAAGTTCCTGAGAAGGACTCTGGTTATGTTTTATCAACAGCAGTGGCTGTGGGACTTGTGTTAAACAAAGGGAAATATTTTTGGGACTTCTGGGGGCCTGAAACCTTAAATTCAGGAAGTTGCTTTGGTCAGCTAAGAAGAGGATTTTTTTGTCTAATTGAAACATTGGTAAAGAAACATTCAGTAGAGCATGATCAACTTTACATGTTATGATGAGCTTCCTGGTGTCCAGGAGTTGTGCCTTGGCCTGGTGTCACAGGTGAGGGTCACCTTCTAGAAGTTATTCTAACAGAACTCAGCTCTGACAGTCCCATGGCAATTCTGATCAGCCTGATGAGTAGAGCCAGTCAATTATACACATGGTGAGTCACAGCTCCCTACAGGAGAGAATTCTGGCATGAAGAGGCAGTTTTGGATGTGATGGGAGCAGCTCTCCTAAATTATTTTAACTCCACTGTGTAATTCCATTTTCTAGCCAAATATTTGACCTCATAATTACCTTGCATCTAAACAGAAGCAGAGGAGGTGGACTAGGCTGGGCAGGGTTTGCTATCCATGACTGGATTCCTCATTTGCCACTGCTGACAAAGGTGAGTTTTGATTCAGAACCAGCCAGCACCTCAGAGTAAGCACCCAGAGGAGTTAAAGCAGAGGTGAGCACAGCTCGCCCCTCCATTTGTGTGACACTGTCACAGCAGCTCTCTGCCACACCACCCTCTCCACAGCTGTCCCAGCACTACGTAAGGACAGCAGAGCAGGAGCCCTTCAAATCCTGGTAGTCAAAGAGTGCACAGAAACATTTCATCTTTGTGAGGACGAGTCCTGAACAGCATTTGGAGGACACTGATCAGTTGGTGCCAGGCCAGGGTGTGGAAGCTTTCAATGAGGCAGGATTATCTGTTCACCTCCTGTCTCCAGGGGCTGCTGAGTTGGTTCCTGTCAGCTCAAGCAAATGCAAACTTTAAATAAGGACACTGCATAAGCACCTTTCTGAGATGAGTTACATCCCCACACGAGCAGAAATTCACTAAAGGGCTGGAATGAGACTTATTTCTCTGTGGAGAAACAAAGCAGCACTCTTAATTCTTGGTAGTTACCAGCATTGAAGCAATGGACAACTGTCCTCCAAATTTTCCTCCTGTTGGAAAATTCCTTCTTGCTATTTAGAAGAACTTGGCAAACTCTGTTTCACCTGCCAGATCTCCCCTGTCAGTCCCTGCAGTGCACTTCAGGGTACTACATAAAATGGCAGAAGCATTAAGTGCCCCATCCAGCTCCCTCCCCACCACGAGCAACTGGTTCCTGGTGCAGGAAGGACAGCCCCAAGCAAATGAAACCAGGCACTGCACAAAGGAGGGAGACCCAAGACTGTGTCTGTGTGGACCCCACCAGTGCCGTGCTGCTCCCCCCACTCTCACCCAGAGCCTCCTGCCCCTGCCTCAGGACGTCCTCTGCCCCTTCCCTGGGTGGGGGAGCTGGGACCCAGCTGAGCCTGAGCCCGTTCTCTGCCCAGAGCTGCAGCAGAACCTTCTGCTGCTGCTCCTGGGACAAGCAGAGCACCTCGATGCAGCAGCTGCAAAGGCTTTTCCTGGAGGAGCCCCGTTCCCAGCCCCAGTGGTCACACACACCCCAGCTCGGACCCCAACCCAGTCAGCACAGGCACTGTAGGACAAGCAGCCCCTTTCCCCTGGGCTCTCAGAGCTGCTGAAATGCTGCATTTCACTGCCCTTCCCAAGAAGAGCTGTCCTGCTGCTTTACATCTCCTCTCCCAAGCAACACAAGCAAGAGTTGGAAGCGGTGGCCACAAGCCAGTGGAGCAGGAGATGGTTTGAGTCTCCACCTCAGCCCTCAGTGGTGTTTCACAGCGTGGCTCTTCTGCACGTGGAAGCAAAGCACAGCCAGGGGGGAACACTGGCTGTTGATGCAGGTACAGACACAGCTATGGAGATACAAAACCAGTCATTTGGTGCCTTTTTTCTCTTTTATAAAACCCTTCTATAAATCCATAGCGACGACACTGTTGCAAGCTCAGGATACCAGAGAACATCTTGGGGAAACAAGGGTGTTCTTGAAGGGATTTTTTTCCCTCTGGAAATCCCAATAATAGACAGTAGATCTGATCTGGGGCATCTCCACCTCCCAGTCCTGGTGGGATTTCACACCCGTGTGGTTTTCCAGCTGGCAGAGTCACTGCTGTGCCTAGAGCCCACCCAGCTGCTCAGGGCTCTGATTCCCGTTCAGCGTAGGGCTAGATAACGATTTCCTGGAGCTGGACCTGAGGAGATGAGCACAGTGACAGACATGGAGACCCTGGGGACAGGAGGCTCCCAGCCAGGCCTGTCACCCCTTACCACAGAGGCCACCACCCTCCCTACAGCCAAAACCCCAGTTCTCCTTTTCATGAGGCTGTGGTGCTCTTGGAGCTGCCCCAGTCCCACCCGCAGTCCTCAGGGCTGCCAGCACAGGACCAGGTCAGTGCAGCCATGACACACCAGCTTCCTTTGCTCCCCAGCTAACTGCAGTGAGGAACTGCAGAGGAAAGGAGCACCTTAGCTAAACTCATTTGGAGGAATATAATTTCCTGGAATTTGCCTTTGTTTGCCATTAATGTTTACTGTGTTCCCATATCTGCTCCTGTTTCTGTTAGTCATAACAATAAAGCCATGACATTACATCTGAGCACAGAGACCAAGCCCACTTACTTTACTTCCTCGTACTTTTTGCCTCGATAAAAGTTACTCTTTTTAATCAGATACAGCAGCACCAGGTCACAAAAGAAAGCTCCCTGCAAAGAGAAAAAAAGCTTGTGTTTTTTTCTTTACAAGAGGAAGAGTTCTGATCTATTTAGCAATGAGCACAAATTAAAGAAGAATAACTTACAGGAGCTGTATTTTCCTTCACACTCCATGTAATCTTGGGGATATTTAGACTTCAAGGTACATTAACAAATGTCCTTAAGGCAGGACACAGACAGACACCTCACTGAGCAGTCAGAGCAGCAAAAGCTCTGCTGGAGCAGGTATAAACCAACTGCCCCATTCTACCCCCACAGCAGCTGAAGGAGGGATCTGGTCTCAGTGTGTCAGGTGAAGAAAAGCCCTTCACTTACCGCTCCCATGAGAGCCAGCCCCGAGCCAATGTTGATAATGGTGGGGATGATGTTAAACTTCCCTGCCTGAAAGAAGAAAAGCCATGAAGTACTCTGTGAAAGAACAGCCCAAGAAACACACTTCAGGGTGTGGTACTACACAGGGGAGCTCCGGGTGCCCGTGGGTGTGTTGTGTTAGCCACAAGCAGATCTGCAGTCGACAGTCTTGGAGGCTAAAGGTCTGTGTGCATCTGACCAGCTGTCCACAGCTGCATTCCTGAGCTTGTGTCATCCCTGGGCCAGGCTTTTTTCTGCAGCACATACACATGGAAAACAAGTCTCTGGGGCACATTTATTTCTGCTGGGCTTCACGTGACCCTGTTCTCAGGCAGAGGAGGTGCAGACTCATCCGCACTCCACGGCATCCCCCTTCTCGTGCAGGGTTAGCTCCACAGGGATGAGTGGCAAAAGCCCTTTCCTACGACCAGCCAGAGAGGCTGTTCTCACCTCAGAGCTGCCTGAGAAATGTCCCCCCCCTTTTTTCTCCCAGGCTCTGAGTCACTCTGGCCTAGGAGCTCACCTTGCCATTCACCATCACGTCGAAGCGGATTCCGTAGGCTTTAATGAGCGTGCGGTAGTCCACCCCCTCAGCATCCCGGTAATATTTGGCAAACCTGGAATACAACAATGCTGATTTTAACTCCATCATCTGCCCCCCACATACAAGGACCCACCTGAATTCACCATCTCTTCAAACAGATCCATTTCCTTATCAAAAGCAGCTCCAGCCTGCTGAGAGCAGGACCCTCCCTCCCCACACCTGCACGGGGACATGCCTGGCACAGGCTGGTACCACTTCACTGCCAACTCCTGCAGGTCAGAGCAGCTCAGCCCAACCACAGTACTGCATCCTGTGCTCCTCTCTGCCTACCTGAAGTTGTACCCAGCAGAGATGGACTTTTCTGCAAACCTGTTGTCCAGCCGGCTAAAAGAATAGTGAGGATTACATTCAGAAGGGGCTTTATCAAGATCACAGTTCCATTCAATCTGAATTCCTATCACACCACCCTTAACAAAAGAGAGAGACAACATGAGTTTTTCAAGCTTAGTTCAATGAATGTGTCTTCAAATCAGTCAGATTCTTGGGCAGGTTTTCCCCAGGGGTGAGGACAGTCGCACTGCTGGTCCCAGACACGAGCACACACACTTCTGGGTGGGTGAAGTTCACACATAATATTAATCACACCACCCTACACACAACCCTGGCTTTCCCTCTGCTGGTATCCTAGCAGGAGGTTTCCCTTCCCAGGACTGACTTCATTAATTACATGCCTGTAACATATTTCAGTGGAGATAAGGCTTTTTTTATGCAGAGATGAAGTTCACAAGTGCAGAAGCCAGCAGAAATCCTGCACTCTTCCACCCTGTGCTCCCCAGGATGCCTCAGACCAGCTCCATCTTCCCCCCTGTGCCTCCCCCACGGGGTCACAGGCTGTTTTGTCCTCCAGCCCCAGGAACTCCATGCAGAAATGTGTCTGTCTCCTGCAGGGGAAGCCTCTCAGGGTCTTCTCTGAGCAGAGGAGCCCCACTGGCCTTCCAGAGTTCTGGGTTAAAACCAGTGGTGTAGTAATGTTGAAATCAAACACAAAAAAAAACCCTGCTTTTTTGGGGAGCTCTGAATAACAGATAACTGACCCAACAGCCTCTTCCAGAGGACCCATATCCCCCTGCCTCCCATTCCCTGGGGACAGGATAAAGGGGACCTGCAGGATCTGAAGCACCAGCATCTCTCCAGGGCACCCTGGATGGGAGGCAGATCCCTGGGCAGTCACCAGCCAGGGAGCCACAGAGCCCGAGGCACATTCCTACCTCCAAGGCCATCTCCTGGAAGTCACTCCCAGCCCACTGAACAATGTTCCCCAGGAGGAAGATGGGGCAGTAGGGATGCTCCGTGCTGTAGCGGCAGCTCTTCAGGTAGGACTCATTGTCTGTTGCCAGCACATTCACCCTGCAGGTAGGGAAGAGGGAAACCCACCTTGTCTCCCTCTTTGCTTGCACAGCCCATGCCACCAAAACCACAGAGACAAGAGACCCCTCCAGCACCCATTGTGCACAACAGAATTGGCACCTTGCCACCAGCCTCATCACCTGGGAGCCTCCCCACTGCTGGCCCAGGGAAGGCAGCCTGCCCATGCAAACAGGAGCTGCAGGCCAGAAGGGGGCCAGGCCACCCAAATCTGGGCTCAAGGGAGGACTCACATTGGTGGCAAATTACCAGAGTGCTCCTGGGCCACTTGGTTTTCTCAAAAAAAACCCAAACCAATTAAGATCCTAGAAATATCTTGCTGAACCTGGAGGAACAGCAAGAACATCCTCCTTCCCACACTTCTTCCACACATCTGCCTCCCCACCTTGGTCCTCGGGCAGGACAGCAAAGCAAACCAAGGCTCTAGGTTCTGTGATGGAGAGGACAGAGGGACCTCTGAGCACCTGCACTTACTTGGAGAACTTAAACTTGGGGAAGCGGATGGAGTTCTTGATGTAAACTGTGAAGTTTTCTGCACTGCCAAGAAGTGGTTTCCTGGAAGAGAAGGTTTGTTACCTGCTTCACACTGGTACCCTGCCCACATGCTAAAACTTGAACTGCCATTTCAGAAACAGTGAGCTCTCAGCCCCGGGCTCTTGGCCACACACAGATACACTGCCCTGAGGAGCTGGTGAGGAGCGTGCAGGCTGAAGAGAAGCCCCGAGAGCTGGAAGCAGCCCTGGGACAGCCAGAGAGCCAAGCAGGGGGCAGCAGGGGCCAGTTGTGCTGTGGGGCCATGCTGAGCTCCCTCCTGCACTGCACAGCCAACAGCCAAGCGAGCGTCCAAGCAGAGGGAACCCACAAACCACCCTGGGTGACACACAAGCCAAAGAACTCAGGCTTAGAAATGGTGTAGGACGGCCACGTACTTGGGCTTGGATCTTTTCTCCACTGGGCACCAGGCCAGTATCTCACAAGTCCCTCTGACACCATCCCTGTCTTTCAAACAGCGGCCAGTCCTAACCCCTGCAGCAAAGACATCACAGAAAAGGTCACACAGAGCAGCCACCTCCTCTCCTTGCCTACAGAGCACACAAAACTCAGATGCCGTTCACTGCCACCCTAAACTCCCCTCCCTGCTATGAAAGGGCCTCTCAGCTGGAACACCCACTCTTGTTGCCTCCCCCAGCAGCCCGGGCTGGCTCTGCTGGGCGCTCACACAGCCACCACAGAGCTGTAAGCACGGCGGCACTTGCATCAAAAGCTGGTAAAGGAAACCAAGTGCCTGTCACTCTGCAGTCAGGGATCTCCAGGTGTAACCAGGCTGATGCCCCCGAAGGAGCCTGTCTGTACCAGGAGTTCAGAGGGCCCTGCCCTTACCGTTGCCTGCCACCACGGCTCGCCCGGCCGGGCAGTCCCGGTCCTCGCGGCACAGGGCGTCAGGGACGCTGGCACTCTGTGGGGTGAAGGGGACAGAGTGAGACCTGTGCCAGCACAGAGGGGGAAGAAAGTGCTGCTGGCGTGGGGCAAACCCTCCGCAGGATGAAGGGTGAAGCTGTGCAGCTGAGTGGTAACTACAGGCCAAGTGTCCCCCCCACACCCCCC